TTGCTAGAAAGCTAAAAAAAAAAGGAAGCAGGGAAAGGGCCATGGGGAATACCATAGTGGGTGGAGCAGACTGCTGTTTTAAAGAGAATGTCTACTGTTGACTTCCTTGAGAAGATGGCATCTGAACAAAGACTTAAAGGATGAGGAGGCCTAACCGTGTAAATATGTAAAAAGCTGCTATTTAAGAAGGAGGAATAGCCAGAGCTGAGGCTGTAGGGTGGGAACATGCCTGGTGTGCTAAAGGAAAAGAAGGAGCCCAGTGTAGCTGGAGCAGAGCGAGCAAGGGGAAGACTGTCATGACATGAGGTCACATGTGAGTCAGTGACAGAGCATTTAGGGCCTTCGAGGCCCATGGAGTAATTTTGGTTCTCATAAAGAGCCATTGGAGGTTGAAATAAAGAGCCACTGGAGGATTTTAAATGTAACAGCAACATAATCTCATTTATTATATACATAATATGGGGCCAGTGTGGGAGCAGGGAGACCAGCTTGGAGACTCTAGCAATAATCCTTGGAGAGAGACGGTGGTGGGTGTATTCAAGGCGGCCGCAGAGGAGGTGGTGAGAAGTGAAGCAGAGCCTATAGACTTTCCTGCCAGATTTAATTCGGAGAAAGCGAAGCCAAGGGCAATTTCAAGTTTTCCACCTAAGCGACAACTGAAAAGATGGAGCTTCCATTGACTGAGACGGGAAAAACTGTAGAAGGAGTAGTTTAAAGGGGCTGAAGAGGGGGTGGTGATGGGAAATCAGAAGTCCAGCTTTGAATACATTGGTTCTCAGAAGTAAATGAGATCATTTAAATCAATGTATGTATTACATTACAAGGTAATTGCTGGTTTTTAGTCTGAAGTCTATAAAATCTTGAAGACAGAACTTTGTCTCTAGAACAGTACCTGCTATGGAGTAGACAATAAATACTTATTCAGTGGATAAATGGATGGATGAAGAAATGAATGAATAAATAAATGTCACTCCAAATTAGCAAATTACTGAGTCGGATTTAGAATCTCAGTTCCATGACTCTAAAGACATTGTTCTATACAGTATTTAGGAACAAGAAATTTAAACATTTGCAATTTAAATATGATGGTTATTAAAATATGCTAAAATATTGAAACGTATTTAAGATTTTACTCCTTTATTTATCAAATACAATTTGTTTTAATTAAGAAACTACTGAAGCTATATTAGCATTTGGAGAACACTAAATTAAATTTTGAGACAATCATTTATTTAATACTCCCACAGTTTGATATAATTTATGTAATTTCCAAAGCCCAACCACAAGAATAGACGTAATGAACTGTATCTTTAAAGACTGTTATGACTAAAGCATAAGTTTCTTATTGTAGTATAGTAAAACGTGATTTAAATTGCCAGGTAATGTACCTGATACAGTCAATGACTCAGAAAACAACATAAAAGGAAATGATCATGTTTGAGATTTTGCTCCTTTTCTTAAGCATTGAGAATATACTATTGTTTATATTTAAGGAATAGCGTGTAGCCCCCTGTGTAGTTTTTCTTCCTTTTTCTGCCTATGAAAGCAGAAATAATCATGGAAGTCATGTCCTGTAATTACTGAACCTGTTGACAATTTGAGAGTCTTACCTCTTGCCACTCACCTGTCCCAAATACATAAGTTCTTGCACAAGGTAGAAATATACAGCTTCCTGAACGTGTCATGCTGTTCCGTCACTCTGAGATGCTGTACATTTGGCTCTTTCCCAAGCATCTACCTACCATATGTCTCCTCCTGCGCAACCATGTGCAAAACCCTGGTCAGGTGTCACTTCTCTGGAAAGCCTTCCCTGACCTCCTTTCCCCACACTGCCCCAGCCACATGCAAGAGCTGGCATATTCTGCATACATCACTCTCTACTGTATTTGCTTATTGACCTGATTGTCTCCTCCATTAGACAATCCTCAAGGGCAGGATTCATGCATTTTTCATGTTTTTATCTTCATGTACCGGCCCTATATCCTATGCATAATAAATGTTTGTGTTAGGATGAACTCCCACAGAAATCCATGTTCTCCTCACAGTTTTTCCAGTGATCTTTGTCAACCTTCAAAGACCTTATAAACAAACTTGGGCAAGGGTATCACAAAATGTTAAAGTTGGAATTGGCCTTCCCAACTGACCACAATTCTCTTGTCTTAGAAAACTGGTGGGAAAAGAATATTAACTGATATTAGCACCTACTGTTTCCAAAGATGCGCTAAGTGTGTTATTTAATCGTTGCAGCACCCAGGGAATTCAGGGACCTTACTGCGTTGTGTAGGGGCAATGGTGGGTCAGTGGTAGAATTCTTGCCTTCCATGCAGGAGACCCAAGTTCCATTCCAGGCCAATTCATCTCATGCACAGTCACCACTCAATCTGTCACTGGAGACTTGCTTATTGCTATGATACTGAACATGTTTCAGTGAAGCTTCCAGACTAAGAAGAAAGGCCTGACGCTCTATGGGTCACAACAGTCCTATCCACAAGTGATCATGCGGATGGCCTCTCTGATGGCGCAGGACCGGGCAGTGTTTTGTTCTGTTGTGCACAAGATCACCTTAAGTTGGGGGCGATGCAACGGTAGCTAACACCAGCTGCACTGCGAAGATGAGAACGCTCAGCCTAGGGTCAAACAGTGACTCTGAACTTAAGTTTGTAAACTTAGAAGCTGTGCTCTTTGCAATATCCCACAATGACGGGCCATCAAGATCTCTCGCAGAAGAGGGAGAAGAAACCAAGAAAGAGGCACCTACAGGGATGAAATGCTACAAGGGAAAGGGAGTAAAGAAATGTCACCATACAGACTCTCAACACAGTGAAATCCGGCACTCATTAACAGAGCACATTGCCAAAGATCGCTCATACCCCATATTTGCTTTGTATTTTGATGTATGACACATAAGCTTGAATAATGAGAGTACTTCCAGGCAAAACATAAAATAAAAAACCCTCACTTTGCTTTCATTCTCCCCAAAGCAGGCAGCAGTGGGAGGCAACATGACGACTGAGTACCCAGAAGGAACACGCTGATTCCATCTGAGGATGAACGCCACATGCTCTCTTCATCAGGGAACTTAAATGGCATCAGCTCTGTCTAGATGGAAGCCTGAACTTCCACGGAATGGGATCAGCATTTGGCTCTCTACTGAGCACCGGCAGAGACACAGATCAGTGCCAACTGAAAGAATAGGTGGCCATTTGCCTTCTCAGCAGCCTTGTTACATGAAGGTGCCACCATAAAACCATATTCTAATCGTTATAAATGCTGAATCTCAATCTAGGTCACCAAACACAAAGTCATCTGGTTTTTTGAAAACAAAAAAAATTAACTGTGGGTTATTCTTTAACATCCTGTGGAAAAATTGTCTGAATTTGACTTAAAATTAAAATCCATTTCTACACCGAAAAGTAGAGCATTTTGAAGCTTGTAATCTTCATCTATGATCATACTTACAGTCAGACACATATTTAAAGGTAAAAACTATACCTGTTTTTCCCATTTAAAAAAAAAACCTCTCTATAAAGTATAATCAGGCTTAACTGATAACCGAAAAAAAACCAAACCCGTCACTGTCGAGTGGATTCGGACTGACAGCAACTGTAATAACACTGTTCCTGACCAGTTCAAATGTAATCATTTTATACACACAAATAAACAAAATCACTATACATACAAAAATATTTTGCCAGTTTTGCTCTTAATTTTCATAAATCTCTAGTTCCATAAAGAATGAGAATATCACCTCCTCCTACTCACTCCTCAATCCACTCTTAAAAGTTTTACTCTTACCTCTGCTCCCAGTAAGGTTACCAACAGATGCAAAACAAAACTTCCTTTAGACAACAGAAACAGTTAATATTTGGAGCTAAATATATGCATGCCCATGTTGCTATGAGTTGGAATTGACTCGATGGCAATGGGTTTGCTTTTTTTTTTTAATGTATATACAATAAAATTTGGTGAATAAACAAGTGAAGATCTCAGCATGCCTAAACTTTTAAAGAACAAAAGATTTGTCTGAGTAGGACTTATATCAGAGGACTGCGTTACATATACCAAAAAACAAACAAACCCGTTGCCATCAAATCGATTCCGACTCATAGCAACCCTATAGAACAGAGTAGAACTGCCCCATAGGGTTTCCAAGGCGCACCTGGTGGATTCGAACTGCCAACCTTTTGGTAAGCAGCCATAGGTCTTAACAACTACACCATCAGGGCTTCCAATTACATACAGTATTCCAAAATTCTCTTTGAGTGATTGCATAAAGCATTCTAATGATTTCTTTCATTAGTGAAGACAATAGAGTTGATCTTCCTGAAGTGTCCCCGAGGCTGCTCATCAGCAGCTAGGAATATATACCTTTGTGGCCGTACGCTTACTGACTCTACTGTCTACAACCAAGGTTTGTGAGGATTAGGAACAACCTGGCATCTATTGTTCTTCAATGTATCAGGAACATAATTTTCTAAGGAATATGTAGACCGTCTCCTTTTTATCCTTCAGGTCTCCACTTAAAAATCGCCCACTCAGAGAGGCCTTCCCAGAACCAATGATCTAAAATAATGTCCTCTATCTCCGTCTCCCGGAGCCTCCTGTTTATCCCTTCGTAGCGTTCTTCCTCCAGCACTTCCTGTCTTTCCCCCACTAGACTGTGGGCTGACACCAGATCCTGTCTTTTTGCCTACCACCAATTTCCAAGAGTTTAGTCCGGAAGGCACTCAACCAACAATAAAAAGCAAAGAAGCCTAAGTGGATAAAGAAATGACAGGATGCAAGTGTGAGGGAAGCAGAAAACTGCAAAGGAAAACAGCGAGGCTGTAATTGTTTCTTAATTAAAACATGAAAATATATTTTGAAATCAATAGGTTTGTCATACGTTGAACAGCACTAGCTACCTATCTACTCTGTTCTTCTCTTCTCCTCTTCATATTTGCCAAGACTACTTTCCCAGCACGCAGGAAAGACAGAAGCAGAAACAAATGCAAACCAACCTTGATTGTTGTCGTGTGTGCTCCGGGGTACTCTTTTTCTTCCAGTGTTGACCATCTTTCTATAAATTTCGATACCAGGGAATCATCATAGTCCACTATCTGAAATCCAGAGACATTTGCACCTCCAAACTGGATTTTTAATAAGTCTCCATCAGTAAAACCCTAGACATGAAACACATTTACGTTACACTTTTTCTATTGTGAACCAAATAGAAATGAACATTTATCAAATACCTTCCTAAGTTGTGGTTTTACGTATTTCAAAGAACTCATGACAGATAAGAAGCCTACAGGAAATGCTTCATGTATTTTCTAGCCAATGCTCTTCTACCACTTATTAGCCAATGCTCTTTCACCAGCATTTAACATGATTTTAGCAACACAGTGTGTCCTTCACCAATACTTGTTTATTGATTGATCAGCTCATGGAACACTCATGGCTCTTAAGTTCTCCGTTTTATTGAGAAATCTTCCATGGGTAAACATTGGATTTTATTTACTGAATCGACAACAGAGCTCCATGTGCTTATAGACACTCAATAACATTTTTTCTCCAAAAGCTACAATATTGTGAACAAGTTGTTGATGTTTAAATTGTTCATTCACTCAAGTGATATAAACACTAGCTTTTAAGAGACAATACCAAAAATCAAAGCTATGGCCATCGAGTCAATTCTGACTCATACTGACACTGCAGGGCAGAGAAGAACTGCCCCATGGGCTTTCCAAAGCTATAATCTTTACAGGAGCAGAGTGGCTGGTGGGTTTGAAACACCGACCTTTCGGTGGGCAGCCGAGTGTTTAACCACTGCGCCACCAGGGATCCATAAGAGACCGCTGTTGTTCTCAGGTACCTTCCAGTCGGTTCCTACTCAGTGATCCTATGTACAACAGAATGACACACTAACCAGTCCTGCGCCATCCTCACAATCGTTGCTGTTAGAGCCCATTGTTGCAGCCACTGTGTCAATCCATCTCGTCGAGGATCTTCCTCTTTTTTCCCTGACCCTCTACTTCACCAAGCATGATGACCCTCTACTTCACCAAGCATGATGTCCTTGTCCAGGGACTGGTCCCTCCTGCAAACATGTCCAAAGTACTTGAGATGAAGGCTCGCCCTCCTTGCTTCCAAAGAGCCTTCTGGCTGTACTTCTTCCAAGACAGACTTACTCGTTCTTCTGCAGTCTGTATATTCAACATTCTTCGCCAGCACCATAACTCAAAAGCATCAGTTCTTCTTCAGTTTTCCTTTTCATTGTCCAGCTTTCCCATGCATACGAGGTGACTGAAAACATCATGACTTGGGTCAGGCACACCTTAGTCCTCAAAGTGACATCTTTGCTTTTCAACGCTTTTTAAAGGGTTCTTTTGCCGCAGATTTGCCCAATGCAGTATGTCCTTTGATTTCTTGACTGCTGCTTCCATGGGCACTGATTGTGGATCCAAGTAAAATGAAATCCTGGACAACTTCAGTCTTCTCTCTGTATATCATGATGTTGCTTGTTGGTCCAGTTGTAAAGATTTTTGTTTTCTTTATGTTGAGGTGCAATCCATACTGAAGGATTATATGTAATCCAAAGATCTGCACTTTGATCTTCATCAGTAAGTGCTTCCAGTCCTCTTCACTTTAAGCAAGCAAAGTTGTGTCATCTGCATATGACGAAACCTTGTCATCTGCTGCGTTCTTCATCACATAGTTCAGGTTCTCAGGTTATTTTCTCAGCATACAGATTGAATAAGTATGGTGAAAGGATACAACCCTGACACACCTTTCCTGATTTTAAACCATGCAATATCCCCTTCTTCTGTTCCAACAGCTATCTCTTGGTCTATGTACAGGTTCCCTACGAGCACAATTAAGTATTTTTGAATTTCCATTCTTCGAAATGTTATCCATAATTTGTTATGATCCACACAGTCGAATGCCTTTGCATAGTGAATAAAACACAGGTAAACATCTTTCTGGTAATCTCTGCTTTCAGCCAAGATCCATCTAATATCAGCAATGATATCTTTCATTCCACATCCTCTTCTGAAGTCAGCTTGAATTTCTAGCAGCTTCCTGTCGATGTACGGCTGCAACCATTTTTTAATTATCTTCAGCAAAATTTTACTTGTGTGTGATATTAATGATATTGTTCGACTGATTTGTATTTTGGCTTGGTATAAAGTTTTAAGTTGAAAACTTCAGAATTCTGAAGGCATTGTTCTATCGGCTTTTGTTTTCTATTATATATTAAATGCGCCATTATTCAAATTTATTTCGGTGTGTGACCTGCTTCCTACCCTTGAACTCCACCTGCCAGAAACTTTTAAGATCTTTCTATCCTTGAAATTTCATGATCATATTTTCGGTATGAGGTTTACTGTGTTTGTTTTCCCCTTCATTGTTCCGGGTATTGAATAGAGAGATTTGTGTCATTTGGTACTGGAAAATTTTCTAAATATTTCTTTGATAAGTTATTTCACTCTATTTTCACTGTTATCTTTCTAGAATGCCTGTTATTAAGATTTGTAACCCTTAGACTAAATATCTAGGTCCCTTAGAGATTCCCCAATCTCTATTTATATTGTATCGTCATTTTGTTGAATAATTTGGAAGATTTGCTCAACTTTCCTTCAAACTCTTACATAACTTTTCCTACTTAAAAAACAAAGTAAGTTCCCAGAGTTCTTTCTTATTCTTTGATTTTTTTTCCTTTCTCATAGCCCCTTTTTTTCTTTTAATGGATAAAATATTTTCTGTTATTTCTCTGAAGATACTAATTACAATTTTAAAGCACATTTTCTGGTGTTTCCTGCCATATTTCTGTTTATCTGTTTGTTTCTATTGGTCCCTATCATGCATGGCAAACACTTCTCTCGAATGCGTGGTTACACTTGGCTGTTTAAGAGCAAGGCACTAAAGGTGTCTCGGAATCTCTATCTTCATGGGTAAGGCTCATTGGCTAGTATACCTCCCCATAAGGTGGATGTTGAGGTGGGGTGGGAAGGTTCGGATTTCCATATGCAGATTTTCACACAGTTGACCTGTTTTCAGCCTGTGTCTGAGTCTTGAGAGCTTCTCCAGTTCATAATCTCCAGACAGCAGTATTATCTAGAGAGGAGATGGGTGTTTGGGACCTGGGGCTAGTAGTCACATGGTTATTTGGGGTGTGTAGAGAGAGTGCTTGGGCTGTCCAGTCTTTCCCTATAACCTTTGAGTCATGCCGCCTCTGTTGCAGATGCTGTTAGTAACCCACCAAGATCCCCTGGGACACCTTTAACAGGCCTGTCCTCCAGCGGCTGCCCCTGCTTTGGTCAATGGCTCACAGTTCCCTACGGATTGCCCTTGGGAAATTGAAGCTCCACCCTTGGCCAATGGCAATCACTAACTGGGACTGGCATACAAAAGTCCCTCTGCCTTGCCTCAAGTTGGGAGACACTGGGTACAATTTATGCAACAAATCTCCCCAAGAGATCAGGCTGAAGGCAGATATCATTTGAAATCACATTTTTATTTAGACTTTTTCCCTTCTCTTTCCTGTTTCCTTCATTCTCTTAGAAGTCACTCCTGAAAGTATTTATTTTATAATATGCACATAAATTCCCGTCTTAGTCTTTTGTTTCTAGAGAACCAGTAAGAAATTCCTTTTTAGCTCCACACCTCACCTGCCTTTCTGGTTCCAAAAGACTGAATTCCACAGGGGTGCTGCACAATGAACAGGCTTGCTTTTGTCTATATCACACTCTGCCTACATTTTGTTTTAGCTTTCTTTTATTTCTATCTCAGTTATTCCTCCTTCATCTGCTCAACTTATACTGTATTCACTAGAAGATGACAAAACTTTGATAATCTCTTGCACCTTTTCATGTTTCCTTTCCCAAAATCTCCTTCCTTAAGGTTTCAAAGAATTTTATTTTCTTATTGTCATTTCACTGGATCTTGGGTGTAGTTTTAGTACCAAGGAAACTTTTGACTAAAACCTTAAACAGGGTTTTGAGCTGGTCTTGGTGAGAATCTATTTTTCTATACTTTTGTTTTTCCTTCTCTCTCTTCTCTGTACTTTTGCAGTTTGTGAGAAGCAGAAGGGGAAAGAAAAAAAAAAAAAAACTCCAAATGAATGAATCATAGCAGAGAAGCTAACAGTTAACACTACAGACAGTAACAACTCATCAAATGAAAACTGACATTGCTATTCCTGGGGATTTATTTGGCGAGACTTAAAGCAGAAGGTAAATCTCCATTAATAATCTGTAAAAATATAAAATTTTAACAGGCAGCCATGTGAAGTCATCAGCATTGTGGAAGGATTACTTTCTTAAAGAATTAAAGACATGAAAATAGTATAGTTGAAGAAACGGGAATTGGATCTCATCATGAACACTTCTTCATCGCTTTATGTACAAGTCATCATTTTAAATGCTGCATCAGGGACTTAATCATGACTTACATTTTGGAAGCCTAATCAAGCATTTGGTAATTCTTGAGGAAATTCACAAAGATGGTATCTTTTTTCTTTTATAGACACTGGACAGGGGCAGAGGGGCATACTCAGTCAAGAGTTTGGAAGATGAAATCTCATCAGTTTTGGGTGGCTTTCTTCAATTTTAAATGTCAATGAAATTTCCAAGTGTCCTCTAAATGCTCAGAAATTAAAGTGCTATGCAGGACTCCTTGAACCTATCTAGTCACTAGAGCATTTCATATGATGAGGAAATCAAGTATTCAGAAAAAGAAAAACAGAACTTGAATTCTGATAAAATATTAAGTAGATTTCCACCTAGAAGCATGACGGAGCATGAACTAGATTTCATTCTTTTATTTTCTCTTTTTATTTGGTCATTCAAATTATTCTTTCCTTTTTCCCAGCATCAGAAATCAACCCTCAAATTGATGAGCCACCTTCTGTCATTAGTTCTCAATGTTCTAATATAATCCTCCATCTGGATGGTTTTAAAGATCACAGCTGTCAATGTGGCTCAGTGTTGTTCATCAAATGGCACAATTCACACAGGGGACTCACTATCCAGGCTGTTCCCCGCACAGAATGTAGTTCTGAAGACACCAGCTACAGAGCTTCATCTATTTTAACCCTTGCTTCTCTGGTAGGACGTCATTTAGAATCTCTTTGATATAGTATAATGGCAAGTCCTAATGAAATTTTACAGTAGCTAGCCATTTCATTGCTGAACAGAAATTTGATCTTAAATGGCCAATTTCTCCCAATAGAGTACAGGTTTGAAATTTAATATTCTAAGTCTCTGGTGCCACCTCCTAGTGACAACAGTATTCATTGGTTATAAGGCTGTAAGTGGTTGTTTTATTATCTCTTTCCTCACTACTAGATATAATATCTTCTGATCTAACAATCTGATACTCCAGAAACCATGAAATAAATCCACATTTGAAACCTTTTCAAGGTCTCAGTTTGCTCTTCAAAATATTCTCTCCTTCTTTCCCTCTTCTTCTCACTTTTCCCCCCTGGGGAGGGGCGGTCTTCTCAATCATATAAGACCATATTTATTTACGGTCATAAGCCATTATAACAATAACGGCTTAAGCTCATTTTATTGCTGATATAAAAACTATTTTGAGAAAAAACGGCCTCATGATAATTCTAAATTGATTCTCATAATATTTAAGGGAGAAAAATGCAATTAATTACTCTGATGTTCAGTATAATTTAATTTCACGGGAATCCAGGGGAAAAAGTGACCATTTATAGGACGTCAGGAGCCCTGGTGGTGCAGTGGTTAAAAGCTTGGCTGTTAACCAAAAGGTCAGCAATTTGAATCCACCAGCTGCTCCTTGGAAACACTATGGGACAGTTCTACTCTGTCCTATAGCGTCTCTATGAGTTGGAATCCACTGAATGGGCGGCAATGGGTTTTCACAGAAAGTCAATTTTCATTGTGTTGCTTATATAGTAAGTAGGAAGTCATAAATAAATAATAAATAACATATTAATATTCTCAATATTTCCAGGTTTAATTTTTCACTAATATATATTCTCACAATGTGCATTCATTTCAAATATTATATATATTAAAAACTTAAGAATGTGTAGGATGTAAAGTTTACAAAACACTGTGACAGTGTTTTGTAAAAAAACTAGAACAATGAAATTTAATATTGTTGAAATTTTCCCTTTCTTAAAATACAACTTCTAAGACAACTTATAAAAATTTTGAAATATTTTTCTACGATTTCTTTCATCATTTGTAAGAATAGGAAATAGATTAGAAAATGTAAAGTGGAAAGTAAATCTAAAATGTAAGAAATTTAGACAAATACTGTCACTTATAATCTATCAAATATAATGAAATTGTGTTCTTAAAAACACCACTGACAAACACTGGCCAAACAAATTTTTAATTAATAAGCATTTCTAGCAAAATAATAAATACCAATTAATTCACCTACCAGATTTGCAATGATGTAGTGGTACCCTTTAACATGTTTTCCAATGGTAATAACCTAACAAAGAGAAAGAAACTATTATTTAATAAATGGAAATAATGTAAATATACAATTATTGATATTTTACCAGATTCAGGAAAAAATGGAATTTTATCTACTATGTTTTTTTATGTTCTACGAGTCGTATTTGATAAAATATAATGTTCAAATCTAGAGACTAGCTACCTCACAGAAAAAAGTAACCATAGTTTTTGTGATTTTCAAATGTTATCTGTCAAGAAGTCAATGACTAAACAACAATAATTACCTCATTTTTGTCAATAATGCAAATAAGGCCACAAAATGTTAAGAAACATAAAACCAAAATTTTTTTTGATTCCTAAGAAGTCATATTTTTTATCTCTACAAAATCTGTTTTTGTTATTTTTAATAAAATATTAAACACCTGAAACTAACATCTGGGACGTTATATTTACACATTTATATTCAAGAATAATCAGACACATAGCGTTTCTAGCAGTACTTAAATTTGAAAAGAACATTCATGAGCATATAAAGGAATTCTTATATGAATCTACAAAAAAATTCCTATCTTAAGGATCTTAAAAAGTTTACAGTGTAGTTCAAATGAACATTATTATTTCCAATTTGAGGCAGCACAGATCAGAAAAGCTAATTTTTCTCCACAAATGTCAGTCAAAAATCAACAGCAAGATGGACACATCATGGAGCAAACGGTTATCTTGATAATGCTCATAACCGTTTTGGACATGACTGAATCAGTTTGACTTCTCATACATCTATACCAACTATGAAGAGAGCTGAAATAGGTGAAATGGCCATGCTGTAGCCCTAGTCCTTAGATATTCAAATGTAACTTCTATTTTTAAGGAAATGTTCACACCAACAGAAAGCATAAAATGTCAGGTCTATAGAAAAAAATTAAAATCATTAGTTCACTTCCGTGATTAAACTGTTTTAGTGGCTTCCCATTGCTTTTAGATTAATAATCAAATCCTTAAAATACTACTAAGTCCAATAAACTTTCAGGCTTCTTCAGACTCTCTTCCACATTGTACACAAAAGCCACACTGGCCCTCTTTTAGTTTTTTGCATACAGAATGCCTCTTCCCATCTCCTCAGTTGTGAGGATGGTGCACGACTGAGCAGTGTTTCATTCTGTTGTATATAGGGTCGCCATGAGTCAGAACCAACTCGACGGCACCTAACAACAACAGTCTAATACAGTTTAATTCTATTGCTAACTTGAAGCTACTATAAAAACCAAGAGTTTGTCCCATGTCTGATCTTTTGTAAGTATTAGCTGAATGAATAAATCAAACGTACCTCTTTTCTTAGAATGTACTTCATCCCCATTTTTTAATCTAGATTTTATTTGAAGTCATTCCATGATCTCCCAATCTAAAATATTTCTCTCTTTAATTATTTCATAGCACCCTGCTTTTTCCATTTATATTTTATGATTGTAATTACATATTAATTTCTGTAGCTACGTAATTAACATTCACCTAGATGCAAACTTGTCTATATCCTTTAACATTGTTTTCCTAGGATCTACCTCAGTGCTTCTCTGGCAAACATTAGACCCTCGGAGAAAATTATTGAACAAACAGTTGAATGAATCCAAGCCAGCTCAGATGTCACTTTCTATGTGAACGCTTCACAGATCATCCCTCCCCCATGCTCCGATAAACCACACTGCATTATAACTGGTGATATTCTACTATTATGTGTGTACATTTCTTTCTTCCCCTCTAAACAATGAGTTCATCCAGTATAAAAACGACTCTTTCACCTTTCTTTGCATCTCCCATTCCAGACACAGAGGACATCATCGATAAATATTTGTTAAATGATACAATCATCCCTTGTCTGCATTTATTCAATATAGTCAGTGTCTTACAAAAACAAAAATCAGATATATGTGCAAAATATTCAGCATATTTTGAATGGATATTCATATCGATATTTCTTTAATCACACTCATGTATTTGCTTCAAAATATTATTTACATATATTCCCAGTATGTTTTGTAGTTTCTGTCTTCTTGATTTGGAAATAGCGTTATTTTCATATGGGTTTTCACCAGCATTTATTATGATGTGTCATGAATACTTAAATTTTTTTAAACCAAAGACTAATGAGTATTATTAAAATTCAGTCTTAATGAGACTCTCTTAGGAAATTCAAATGAGGTTCACATTTGAAAAAGAGGCCTCCAGGTTAAAAAGAATCCTGCCTTCATCTCCTGAGGCTGGAATAAAGATTGTTCTACCAAAACGTTCACCTCTCTAGCATACAACAGTTAGGTCTTTCTCATAACAAGTTAGCTTTATTCAGTTTTTCAATATTTCATGAGTGATCCATTTTGTAGGGCAGAGGGCCTGTACGTATATATCAATTAAGCTTTCATTTATGCCTGCAGAATGTTTTCTGTTATATAAATGAATCAATCTCATTTTTCTCTTGAAGCTAGAAGAGCCAAGGGATACATACCCAACCATGCATTTTCCTTCCAACCCTCTATGTCCATTATTCCAAGGAGCTAGCAGTGACCATAATAAAGGTGATAGATAGGTAGATAGATAGACAGACAGACAGACTGATAGATCAATCTAGATCTATATATAAAGTTGGAAAAGAAACAGTCCATGAAGGAGACCTTGCTCAGTAAATCATGATGCTCTTTCACCATTATCTCTGGTTTGTTTTATTTTTATCATAAGACTATTACTGCATGGTTACCCTATCCTGAAAGATCTTAAATGAGGAGGCGGGGCCAAGATGGGGGAGTAGTCAGATGCTTCCGGTAGATCCTCTTACAACAAACACCCAAAAAAACAAGTGATTCAGTTATATAAGGCAATCTGGGAGCCCTGAACATCATAGGTAGAGTTGAGGAACAGGACTGAGTGGCGGGGGAGGGAGAGATGGTTTGGAAGCAGTGAGGAGTTGCCAGACCTGACCCGGCAAGAGCCTGAGCCCTTCAGGCCTGATCAGCTGCGGGTGAGCGGTGAGGCAGGCAAGTATCCGTGCTTGGGATGCACTTTTTCTGCACTGGGAGAGACCCATACCAGAGAGTCTACATGGCCACCCAAAACCAGTGAGAAGCAGCCCTCATCAGTGAAAGATAAGTACTTGCATACGGCTTACCGCACGGATCAAAAACACCTTCCTTAGGGAAAAACTCTACCATTTACCTCCCCGCTCCCTGCTCTGCCCGGGTCCTAGACCGGCTTCAGCAATTGCCGAGTCCCCAGAGCCAGAAGTAGGATCCGTCACATGCCCAGAGCCATTCTCCCTGCCCTGGAGAGTGAACAAATAAACAAACAAGGGGAAAAATAAACTGCCAGCTCCCCTAAGCGAGAAATCCATGATAGGCAGAGCTCTTTTGCCTAGGCACAGGCATAAGGGATCCATGGACTTTGAGTGCCTTTCCCCCTGCATAGACCTGTGTGGGCCCATCTCAACAGCGTAGGCCCTTGTTACCATAGTACAACAGGGTATATACCGGAACTCTAACTTCAACTGTTTCAGCTGTGAAGTGGTAGGTTCTTGACATTTGACACTGCTCTGCCCATTAAGCAGGGCCTTCACCTACCCACATCAGGGGCCTGAGGACTGGTGGCTCCACCCATGCCACCAAGCCAACAGTGATAGGGGCCCATGAATAAGAGGTGTCCCCCAGTCCTTACAGCCAACAGTGTTAGGTGTTCATAGTTCGGCTGCAAAACCCACCCACCTACATGCTCTAGGGAACAGGGACATGCCTTCCTCCTGGACACTTGGGGGCAGCTGTCATCCCCCTGCCTTGCTCAGAGTGTGTCCCCATGCTGCAGCTAGATGCCTGTGCCTACACCAATCACCCATGCCTGCCTAGGACTGTAAGTGAGAGCCTACACCACACACTTGGTGACTATCTACCTGGGCACCTGAGCTGAATCCATACAGGAGGAGGGGGCAGACTCCTGAGCTCACAATCCTACTAACAGCTCTAACCACCTGGTGACAGGACAGTAGAGCTTCAAAGGTGCCAGTAATCAAACTAGCTCATACCAGCAGCCTATTTGGGCATATCAAAACAAAACAAGAAGCTAGGACACAGTAAGCAAACATAACGTAAACAAATATAATAAATCATCGATGGCTCGGAGACAACAGTCAATATCAAATCACATAAAGAGGCAATCCATGATAGCTTAAGAAGCTCCCAAAATAAAGAATCTAGAAATTTTCCACAGGAGGAAAATTTCTTGGAATTACTGGAGGCAGAATACAGAAGATTAGTATACAGAACTCTTCAAGAAATTAGGAAGGAAATTAAGCAAAACGCATAACACACAATAGAAGAAATTAAAAAGATTAGAGAAGAGCATAATGACAAATTTAACAGGCTGCAAGAATCCATAGAGAGACAGCAATCA